AAAATCTTTTTCCTCGTCCTCAGGCTACAAAGAATATACAAGCAAAATTTTAGAGAATTTTGAGCTAAATAAAATGTTACAGAAACACGACGAAAATATGATATAAATGTAAAGAGTAGCATGCATAAAATAGATTAGATTTGATGAGGGTTGCTACATCAGTTGCGAGTCGGTGAACTACCAGACGTTAAAGCTACCAAAATAACCTCTCTCTTTACACTTGCACTTATCAAAATAAGAGCTCAAGACGAGTACACACGAAGTATAAGTAGTAACTACAGTTACAAGATGGTTAGGAGCACGAAGTTTGCAAACTTGGCACCACTGCGGCACGGCAGGCCGCGAATGATCGATTACAGCGCTACTGACGGCAGCCGGATGCACCATTACGCAAATGAAGACCACAGCGCGCATTTTCGTCAAAAGAGAAGCACAATTCAAAAGCTCGCTCTCAATAACGAAACGACTTGAATAGAAGGCCTCGCTCTTCGTTAAGAGTGCATCAACAAAACATTTCGTGATTGGAGTGAAAATTTCTTGTTCTGTCGTGCGGAAAAAAAACAGAATGGTCTTACATGCAACCATAGACAAAATTATTTTTGCGTTAATACTACACTAAAAGTATACATTATCATCTCCATATTGTGACATTCAATAATAGCAATTAATACACTTTATTTTATAATTATTCATATTTTATTCCATATTTATTTACATCGAGACAGGACAAAGATTACGAAAATTGCTACCTTCTCAAATTAAAATTAATGCTGTACTTTGGGTAGATATTGACCATCGGTCAGAGAAAACATTTAGACCTGAAGTTCTCCTACATTGACGTCTTTCCTTCAAAATTGTTTCACAGGGAAAATCTTCAAAAGACACCACTTATTTACCAAAAAGACAGTTCGAGTTAAGCGATACAACGTAACTATTTTTAGTAATTAATGTTATAAAGATTTTTCAATGCCAATTTTAAAATAGTGTTGCATTAATATACAATTTGGTATAATAAATACAATTTTTAAAATTTAATTTAATTTCGAAAATGTGATTGAAAAATTCCGCAACTTTTCTACACATTCTTCTTCGCGTACAACCAACAAATATAATTTTTGGTATGTATAAAATTTATGTATGCCCTCCCAACAATGCATCGCAGCGTTGCCAGGTTAAGGGTTTACACCCTACATTTAAAGTTTTAAGGGGCAAATTTATTTACGTATATTTGTTGAGTTCTTTAATGTTGAAAAATATCAATTGTATCACAAAACGCAAAAATAGTTCCTTACTCTTGCAGGTATATTTGTTTAAATATAACTAAGCATAGAAAAACGTTACACGCGTGTAAGTTCATTCAATTCCCACGTTTAAAACAATGCAGGTTTTGCATTGGTAGGGGGCATGCTTCGCTTTTTTCTTAAAATATCAATAATGCCTACCTTTTCCTAAATCTTGTACAAATATTAGTGGCTTTTGAAACACATGCCTCACGCACGACAATTTCCTTGTTCAACAATTGCAAATTTGCAGCAGTTATGAAAAAATCAATCCCACTTTTCTTTATTTTTAATTAAATCGTGCCCACTTTTTTTTCCAAAAATTGAAGTATTGATGGTTTATGGCAGGTAGGTTTCATGCACAAGAGTATTTAGTATCATGTTATATTTAAAAGAGCAGCCCTTGTGAGAGTCCGCTTTTTTCACCACTCAAGGCATTTGGCAAATTTTTAACTCTGAAGTTGGCGTATTTTTCCCACAGGGTTGCCAGATTGGGGAATTCCCCAAAATGTCCCCAAAATGTAGAATTTTTTCGTTGAGAGGAAAGAATGGAGAATGTAAATGGACGTGAGCATGTTTGGGGGAAATTACTTTCGTGCTGAGTAGAGATAGAAATACTATTCTCAGAATGATTATGAATAAAAAAGTAACAATGGACGTTGTGCAATGTTTATGTATCAAAAAGAGAAAGATAAAAGGTATAGAGCAAGAAAATCCAACGATAATTTAGGGCGGTTCAAAGGGCGTTGATTGATTTGAATTTATGGGGACAATCACAGGGATCTTCAGGGACAGCTCATGTCGTTAGTCCATAATTTAGAGAATATTTTTCGTACAAAGTTGGGGACTTGTTTCATTGGAAATGTTATTTGATGAAATTCCGTGGTGGTGGAAGAGCTCGCAACACATCTGGTAACACTGCTTTCCCAGTGCGGATGTGGCAATCCTGGTATTATCCACGCGCCTTTCCGTGAGACTTCGCGTCGTTAGTTGCGACATGGGTGGAGAGTTTGGTTATGTCGACAAAAGAAATTTCGAATCAAATTTGTAGTACGTTTTTCAATGCAAAGTAGTTTCTATTACACGGGAGCGAACATTTCTGGTTATCAGATTTTTGTCTACACCGCTCGTTATTTGTTCTTAATTTAACTAGTATAGGCGATGGGGGGTTAACGTTCTGGTGCGTGCTAGTCATTGCACAGCACAGTCGATTATAATTTTAAGATAAGTGCAACTTGTTCAACGTATCGTTTTTTAGGACATCGCTCATGAAACTGCAAAATATCGTATCCAAAAAGACATAAATTCCACAGCAGAGATAGAAAACTAAATAAGCATTTCCTTATCAAAAGTACTTCTTATAGTTTAAGTATTTCCTTATCTTATAAGTGTGAATAAGGCTCATAGTTTTGATTTGAAATTAAGTCGTTAGTTTCATACTTTATCAGTGCAATGAATAGAATTTGATATTTTAATTCTTTTTAAATTCTGTAGCATACAAATTTTGCCAATTATCGGTATATAACATTTTTTGTACTTTTGTTATTCTATTGATGTCAAAATCTTAATTTTATAATTATGCCGGTTACATAGTGCAGTTTCATGGGCGTTATACTCTGGTTTAACACAGAGTTCCGGCGAGAAATCAGTGCTCTGTTGCCGTCATAGTCGGCAACACTGAAAGTCATTTCAAAAACACAGAGTCCCTAGTTTTTCAGAGGTAGCCTCGTCAAAAAATTACATTTCGTTCAAGAAAAAATGAAGTTACTACAGGTATAACATATTTCTAGTTGGTTACAATCCCCAGGTCGAATTCGGCAACCCGATGATTTCGGAACAGCGATAGTATGCCTGGATATTACTATTGCACAAGCGCAGAGTCTACCTTCTCGTGCCGTTTCTCTGCACTTTTAACGGTTTTGTGCGATTTCTTCCACTTGATAAAACACTAACAAATTCATCATTTATTTCGTTTTTCATGTCTGTTTAAAACCGGCTGGACAATTTCACAAAGTTGGTTCTTTTCCAGTGCTTCTAAACTAATTTTGAAAAATAAACTTATTCATTACACGCAAGGAGTTGGTTGTTGAAGAAAACATAGTTTCATCTTTCTGAGCTGCACACTCAATTCATTAAAATGTCGCTTTGAGCACATTGAGACGAATTAGGCATGCGCAGCCTTGTGTGGAGTAATCCCTTATGATTTATTAAAATTAAATTCCAATAACATCAAAAAAATCAGAATCATTATCGTTGTTTTTCATTGTACGATAATTGTAGGCTGCGTAAAATGAATTAACATAAAGATAGCATACGTCTGGCAACACTTTCATCAACGTCGAATCATAGAACAATATTATATTTAAGATTATTAAATGTCCGTGACAGTCATGGTTCGAAGCATGAAGCAATGAATAAATAGCTCATAGTTCCATGGTGGAAAGATCTGGTAGTAGCTAGTCAAATTATCAACCATTTATTACATCTACAGATTTACAATAGTGACATGTAAATGTGAGTGAGGCATTTAAATAACTATTTTTAAATAGTTAAATCACAGGCTGAGTCAGTACTTTCGAATGCTGTGAAAGCCACAGTACTTTTTTATTAATTGCTCTTCAGAATGCCCGGCGAGGTACACGTGCAATATAATTTGACTCCACAAATTTAGTATGACTTAAATAAACATATAAAAAAGGTACATTGACCGTATAACTTCAATAACTTAAAAACACATGCTCCCAAAAGTTACATTATTGCGTGACGTACAAATTTATACTTATTTTTATTTTTTTAATGGACCAGTAAGTCATTATTTTACCATCATGAGAGATTTCTTTTATTTCAAGTATCTTTGAAGGTACTTCGTACTGTGGTCGATAAAATCAACGAACCGTCTAGTTTTCAAAATTCTATTTCAGTGAAAATACAAGCATTGTACTCTTCCAGATTAATAACAAAAAGTTTTCAGGTGCGAGATATTAAACAAGACTTACTTGTCATGTCTAATGACAATTTGTTTCGTTGAAACAGTATCTGTCTAGTCGGACACAAACATCACTTTTTACATAATTGCCCCTTAGCAATACCAATTTTATACGATCCGAAAGGGTAAGATGGGTCTTTATGAAAACGTTAACACAACCCCAGGAATTGAGATGCCAGACTAGAAAAAAATAGTCATAATAGCGCCTTTAATTAAAAAGTTTTTTATCTTCATGTAGTATGCAATTTCACCGTATTTAGTAACAGTGTTGATTCTGAATTTTGAGCTTCCCGAATTCCTTTCCCAGAAACGTATTAACAGCATGTAGATATACAACTGTATAATCAATCAGCACTGTACTTAAAATATTTCACTCACGGAAACGTTTTTACTTCTTTATTGATAATTCAACTACTTGTGCATACAAAAATATATATGTAGATACATTCTGTCTCTGTTGCCTAAAACGATTGTCGCAATTAGCTTTTTTGGCAGACATGCTCTGGAGGACACAAATTACGTTTAGATACCTAACACAGCACTCTTTGATAACATAAGCAATTGTGGACGCTCTTAAGTTAATACAATATATATCAATGGTGGAACTAAATTTGGATTCGTCTCAACCACTGACGAAACCATCACAAACCATTAATTAAATTGCTTGGCGCTGATTTGTCACAGAACATGATCGAAACAGACTGTACACTTGGCGGTCAAAATACTTCCTTTCCCTAGTCCCCCTTCCTCTTGAGAGACTCGGGCATCTCGGGCGGCGGGGGGCGTGGCAGCCGAAACCAGACCTTGACGGCGTCGTAGATGAACCACTGGAGGGCGGTGAGGGTGCCGATCATGACGATCCTCGTGCCCAGGCCCTTCCACATGCCGAAGAAGCCCAGGCGGCTGGCCACGTCGAAGGCGGACGACCCCGGCGATTGGTTGAGCTTGGACACGACCGTGTCGGCCGGGTGGGACACCAAGGCGCAGAACACGCCCGCGATGTACCCGGCAGCGAACGTGACGAGCAGCTGTTCCGTCTTGGTACACTCGTCGCGCGGTTTGGGGACGACGTGTTTGTACAGCAGTTCCAACGTGCGCTCGAAGCAGGCGAACTTCATCATGGTGTACGGGATCTGGCGCAGCCAGAGCGGCACCAGCCCCTTGTAAAACCCGTGCAGGCCCTCTTCTTCGTAAATGCACGGCACGCCGTCGCGAAGGGTCGGAGGGAAGTCCGGGGTCGTTTGGATGCGGACTTTCACCGCTTCCATGGGACTCAGGGCGATGTCCGCGAAAAATTCGGCGGAAGCTGACGCGGCTAGGTACAAAGCCGTTCTCCAGCGGTAAGCGTTTTCCTCGCTGAGCATGTCGTGGTACACGACTTTGAACACTTCGTACAAACCGAATTTGAACATACCTTGCATGGAGTAACCCAGGAAGGTGGGTGCCCATCCTTTTGTCAGGCCAAGCCATCCCTCTTCGGCGCGGGTGAGTTTAATGCCTTTGATGAGAGATTTGTACTTATCGTGGTCGACTTGCATCCTGCATTTCACCAAGTCCAGAGGAGTCACCATGGTGTGCGTGAGTCCGCAAGACACGATACCTCCGACAGCACATAATGCGAAATATTTTGCAGACCCGTATTCGCAGCTGTACGTTGAATCCTCGTCTATCTTCGACCTGGCGCTCGATCTTCTTGACTCGCAGTTGGCGACGTAGAGTGGATTACAAAATGGATTCCGCTTTGCCACGTCTATAAATGCTTCCCACATCGTTGATTATTTGTATCAGAAGAGACTCAAATATGTCTCGTAAATTCACACTCAGCACTCTAGCAATGTAAACATCTAATGACTATCTATGACTATCTATGTAATATTCAAACAATGAAACATTTGACAGCTGTTGATGCACGCAGAGAAAATGTTCAAGGAGTTCAGTCGGAGTCACAGTCGGAATAGTACTAAAAAAACAAGTGACTGATACGAATTAGATGATTCGTTCAAATAATGAACGACAATTCTGTCGATAAGCATGAACGAACATTAATTCTTAATAAATTTAACAATTACAATTCTTCCGAAAATATGTAAAAATTAGCACTAAATTAATTAATTTCAGGAGTGTGATACAAATTTGAATATTTTACGTAATAATGTGTATGTTCCATGACGTAAGTGAATTTCCTTACATAAAAATACTATATACTCATGAAGTATTACAATAGAAGAAGGTATTTTCGTCAATTTGGACTTGCTAAAAATTCAACAATATAGTATTGTATGTAATTTTAGTGTAAATAGGATATTGCACGTCTTGCTACATAGTAGGTCCTTTATTGATTTCGTACGATCGCATTTCCATTAAGAAAAATAGAAGTAAAAGTTGAAAGGAATTAATGATCAAAATAGAGAACTATCACAGCATACGTACTATATTGTGGGACTATTAATAAATTCTCTAACATTAAATTACAATAATGTCTTTATTTGCTGCTAAATTCTAAATATTGCTCAAAAGGATAATTAATAATATTATTTTTTTAAACTTGTGAAGGATTTAGGACATTCAAGAATATTTAGCAAAGAAAGAAAATAGATTTTTAACATTTTCTATATATTAATTGAATTCTCGAGTGTTAAAATAAAAGATTAACAAAATAAATCATGTAAAAATGTTATACAAAACAATTAAGATACTCAATAACTTACTGATAAAATTATTTTTTTCTGCGTGTTATTTATTGTCCTTCGTATTTTTTCTTTTTTATTTAAATAAGATTTAATAGACTTTGTAGCATCACGGCTTCTAGTAAGTGAATTTTAGGCGAGGCAACTAAAAAACGTAGATAATTACATTTAATAACAAATATAAGCGGGGTCTTTCATATCTTTTCTAATTTAAACATCTTGCAAATTGGCAGCTATTGTGTAATCTTATGTGTAATGCATGTTTCAAAAGCCATCAATATTGGTACAATGATTTAAGTAAGAAAAGCAAGACTGGCCTAAACTCCTCAAGAACCAACGGATTCCGCAGTGAGGCGAAATCCTGCAAAGTGAGTAATCTTACTGTACGTCGACGCCTTTTTTCCCGCCCAGTATGGCATCCCTGGTAGGCGGACTCAATGCATTTGAAACGAAACGGTTATATATTTTGGTCATCACGTTTAGAGAGATTGAATGGTGTACCACAACTCTCTTCGATTACGCTTAGGCAATTCATGATTTACGTATGAGGTAGCTGAAAATAAGAACCCATTACTTCATTATTTTTTTTTACAAATTTGGCTCATTTACCGAGATAACGTCGGTAACGAATTAGGAAATTTTAAATCGGGTGGCAATTGAAGGGTGAACATTTTGCCAGGCATAATTTAGGACGATTTTAAAAATCAAGTAAAGAAAAAAAAGTTAATTCTACATTGATAATCCAATCTTAATTAAATTTTGCACACTTCACTTTAAAGTCAAGAGAAACGTTACTGTCAATCTCAGATTTTCTGAAGATTAAGTTCCTTCCCCTTTACCAAGTCTAAAAGTAGATTTTAAGTACGCACTCTGCAGAGTTGCCACATGCAGTGGTTAGAATTGGAAATACGATGAAAATGGTGGTTAGAATTGGAAATGGAGATACGATGGAAATCTAGATTATGGTATAATTATGATACAAACAGTGACTCATTTTATTAATTTTGATACTATTTTTAGATTGTATATAGGTTTTAATGATGTGCATTTCAAATACATTTGGAATGTTTGCGTTATCTGGCAAAACTCGTATTTGTCATGTAAGTCACATTTGTGTGCGAGGTGTGCAATAAATTGTTTAAAGTTTAAGGAAGAGGGAGGAAAACTTCTGTCCAATCTTCATATAAAGTAAAAATTTAGAAATATCTTGGTAATAATTTTAAACGTTATACTGAAGTTATGTTTAGACGGATAAATTATGGTACGATTCCACAATTTCGGTACGATTTGGCAACACTGACACTTGAGTTTTTCACATATCTCGACAACGGCGCTGAAACAGTGTTGCAAAGTGTCTTAAGCATTTTCCACGAGATAGCGCTGCGAAAACCAAAATATAAAAACACAAATAATCGTGTGTTAAATTTAAATTTTTGAAGTATATGACGAGGTAGGTAAATTAAAGGAAAACGAAAAATATTATTAATTGTATATGATATTTATATTTTACAGGCATTTACATATAATGTGTGTATAACAACTGTTTATATAATAATGTAAATTCAGAGAATATACATTTAAGTTCTCTAAAGGTTTCACACTGCAGGAGTTACGAAACGTAAGAGGTATCATTGTCTAACTCATTGTAATGACTGGAAATGAGATTATACCTCTTTATAAAAATTTTCCTTTAATCGAAATCGTTCATTCGATTACTTGTTTATTGCTGCTGTGAGTCATTCATTTTCATCAAATACACCCATGGCCTCTTCCAATCTTGGTTGTGACTAATAACCGCAGAATTTTAATCGAGGGAATTCATTCAAACGATCTTACGCGCCAATAAGTGGTGTATGGATTTCTCCGCAAATCTTTGACAGATAAAGATTTGCATTCTCTGGAATTGAGAAACATGTTGCTCAAAATCCTATGTTCAAATATTTAAAAAGCAAATTTTTCAGCAGAGGTAAACGGAAGGCTTTCAATAAATATACCGAGATATTCCTGAGATTTAGACAACGATACTCCATTGCGCAAGAATGTCCTGAACATTTCTCGAGTACACACTGCAGTGTACAGTTTTTAAACAACACTCAGCATGTGCAACTAGTGCACTACAATTTTAATTTATTTCGCGCTGTAAAGCCTGTTTTACACGGTCATTTTTGTATTCTTTTTTCATCATTTTTCTGTACAGTAAATGGATGGGAAAAGGACGTTCGTTTCTACGC